CGCCCACCTCGACCTCCCAAAGTTTTAGGATTACAGGCGTGAGTCACCATGCCCCGCCCCTCCTGGAGACTTGCTGCTCACTTCCCGCAAACCTGGCCTGAGGTGATTTGGAAATGGGGCCCCTTCCTTGGAGAAGAGAAGAGAGGCTTGCTGTGGGGTTTGGGCAGCTCCCTCGGCTCTCCAGCTGCCATGTGCTTGTCTGCATAATGAGGCTGTTAGGTGGCATCTGATGCTTTCTCCCATGGCTGGTGCTCTCTTCTTCCGTGAACTCTGGGATTGAATTAGGGGTGGGGATTGCCATTTTGCAATTTCTAAGGAGTCCTTTTTTTTTTTTTTTTTTTTTTGAGGTGGAGTCTCGCTCTGTTGCCCAGGCTGGAGTACAGTGACGTGATCATGGCTCACTGTAGCGTTGACCTCCTCCCACGTCAGCCTCCTGCATAGCTGGGACTACAGGCACGCACCTGGCCAATTTTTCATTTTTTTATAGAGATGGGGTTTCACCATGTTGCCCAGGCTGGTCTCGAACTTATGGGCTCAAGCAATCCTCCTACCTTGGCCTCCCAAAGTGCTGGGATTACAGGCGTGAGCCACCTCGCCTGGCCATCTGGGGAGTTTTGAATCATCAAAGGTCTAGAGTTGGTGCCCCAAATCTCTGGAATCCTCTTAGAGCGTGTGCTGGGATGGGCTGTGACCCCAAGGTCAGCCCTGCCAGGTGCGAACAGGTGAGCAATACCTGCTCCTTCTCAGGCCACCCATTCACTCCACCTGTTGGAGTCTTCGTTCCTGGATCCAGTGCCCTCTTCCCTCCCCAGCACTCTGCCAGGTCTGCTGGGCTCATGACCTTTCTCCCTTCCACACTGGCCCCAGCACAGGCATGAGGGTCATCAGGACCCTCATCTCCATGTCTGTCCCCTTGGAGCTTGGAATTGAGCCATGTGCATACACTCGGGGCCTGGTGGTTCCCACACTGCAGCTGGGCTCGCATGTCCCTGCCTCTCAGCTTAGCATCCGTGGTATGTGGGGCAGCAAGTGCCCAGATCTGAAGACATCCCTGCCCCTGTCCACCTCTGCCTTCTGATCAGCTTTCTGCCTTGGCCTGTCCTCTTCCTTGTCCATTCTTCCAGTTGACTTGAGCCTTGGCAGCAACCACCACCCCCACAAGGTGACCAGCCATTGTGTTTTTGCCATGTACCAGGCACTGTGCTAAGTGCTTTCTGGGTGTTATTCTTAACACCCCATGAGGTAGGTAGTAGTCACACCGTTTTACAGATGAGGAAACTGACGCACAGAGAGGTGAGATAACCTGACCACGTAGCGAATCAGGAGTGGTGCTGGAGTGTTGATTAGCAGGAGCGTTGATTAGCAATTGCGTCCCATTCCCCTCTCCCTGCAGCCCCTCCCTGGCAACCACTTATCACCATTCTGTCTGTGAATTTGCCTGTTCTGTGCATTTCATGGAAGTGGAATCACACAACATGCGGCCTTTTGTGCCTGGCTCCTTTCACTTGGCATCATGCTTTCTAGGTGCATCCGTGTGTAGCATGCATCAGGACTTCATTCCTTTTCTTTCTGTTGTCTTCATAGTCAAACGCTATCATTGTTTATTTTGTTTATTTTTATTTTTGAAAACTAATTATTTTTACTTCTTTTTATGGGTGAACAATATTCCACAGTATGGAACAACCAAATTTCATTTATCTGTTTGTTGGCGGATGGACACTTAGTTTCCCCCTTTTGGCCATTATGAATCGTGTTTCTTGTTCCTTTTGGTTTGGTTTTCCCGAGAAACTCTTTGCAGTGCCCAGTTGTCTGTATTCCTCTAGCTTGGCTATTTGGAAAGCAAGAGAAAGCATAGCTGAGCGTGGGTGGGTGGGTGGTTAGGAGGGGTGTGGGAAGGGATGCAGAAAAGGGGAGTTGCAGGCTTTGGGAGAACCCTGCGCTGGAGGGAGCCTTACACCTGGCCCCAGAGCCATCTGCTGCTAGGCGAGTGTTTTTCCTGTGGTTGATTATTAATTAGGGACCTGTCTTCATCTCAGGCAACTCTTCCCGAGCACAAACTCTGTCTTTCCACACACCTTGGAATAAAAGGATTGGAGAAAGAGAGTGAAGGGGTCCCTCTGATCAGTGGTCCAGGGCATGATACAGAGGTCTCAGTTGTTCAGGAATCTGTGTCTCTGGGGAACCAAATTCATTTCCCCCCCAGATCCTTCACTCATTGGAATCGGATTCTGCAAATCACTCACCATCTCTAAGTGATACTCAGTGCCCCCACTGGAAAATCTGAGCGGCGGCCCCTCCTCTGCCCACCCTGCCGGGCTGATGTGGGGATTCCCGGAGATAATAGCAGACGTCCTCCAGAAGTTGTAAGGCAGCACACCCACGTAAAAGATGAACAGGGACCCATCCTCCACTGGCCTGGAGCCACCCAAACAGCCTCTCCGTGTTCAGCCACTACTAAGTGTCCAGCTTATTCCTTCTGGCATTTAGTAAACCCTTACATATCACTACTGAAGTTCTGATTCTCTTTCTTAATATTCTCCTACATGTAGTGATTTTTCTAGCCCCATACTGTGATATTAATAAGTAGGCCCTATGAACGTTTTAACATAACAGTGCAGAGATCTGAGGATCAAGGGATTGCATGACCTTCCCAGGTCCACGTGTCTCTAGTGGGACTGGGGTCCAGGCCCCCACTACACCAGCCCTCTGCCTTTCTGTATTGCCTCATCTATGTGAAGGCATCGCCCACGCAGTCTTTCTAATCCACATATAAAGTGCTCACTGAACTCCATGATCTTCCTGAGACCCAACTTTGATTCAGATGACCCTGTTTGGAAGCCAGTAAACAATGAGATCAGAAGTTAGAACTCAGAACCGATGATCACAGTTCTCCCTCTGGTCTTTCTGTCAGTAACATATCAGTGGCTCTCTGCATTGCAAAAAGATTAACCAGGATCTTCTCTGATAGAGACTTTAAGAAGATACAGCGTCTACACCAAGAGGCACGTGACACAACCTGGACTCTGGGCAAACCACCGGGTGCACCCATATGAAGGTACCGTGGAAATTTATTATGTTGATTTAAGAATAACAATTGTGGATTATATTCAGTGTCCCATATGTACGAGGAAGCTATGAATAAGTTAAGCCATATGTTCAAATGTGCCAGAGTTTTTATTTGCCTAGTCAAGAAGTATTGCTGAAATCACAAAATTAAATACACATTTAAAAGTCAATTTTGGTTCACATTTAATAGTAAGACAATCTTTCCAGCTAATGTCTAGACATAACTCAATTGTTGTACATTATTGTGAAGAGATCTCCCTGAAACAGTCATGCTATATTACAATTTAAAAAATGAATATGTTTCTTTAACCAAGAGTTTTAGACTGACATAAAGATTGAGCATGTGATATACAAAGTTTCCGTATTATTCTATTCTGTCACCCTACCTTATAATTCCACCTAACTTTCCCATCTTACATTACCGTGTTGTATTTGCTAAAATTAATGTGCAAATATTGATACAATCGTATCTAAAGTCTACCATTCACATAGTGTTCTTTCTTCCTGTTACACAGTTCTATGAATTTTGAAATATTTGCCATGTTATGTTTACCATTTTGATCTCCAAAACTTCCCTCTTCTTTACTTATGAATCTCTGTCCTCTTTCTCCAGAAATCTTGCCAACTACTGATATTTTTACCATCCCCTTGGTTTTGCCTTTTCCAGAATGTCATATAGTTGGAGTCATATATTAGGGTGGTGCAAAAGTAATTGTGGTTTCCCCATTCTTTTAATGCCAAAAAGCGCAATTACTTTTGCACCAACCTAGTATTATGTAGCTTTTTCAGATGAACTTACTTCACTAATCAATATACTTAAAGTCACCTTGCTCTGCTGCCTTTCTGTACGGTCTCATCCACTTGAAGCCATGCCCTTACAGTCTTTCTGATACATGCCTTTGTCTTCTCTATGCCATGATGGAGAACTCCTTTAAATGACAGAATAATATTGTGTTTTATGGATGATTATTTTTTTCATTCACCTCTTGAACATCTCGCTTCTAGTTTGGGTGGTTATAGATAAAGCTGCTGTAAACATTCCTGTGCAGGCTTTGTGTAGACGTAACTTTTCATCTCAACTGAGTACATACCCAAGAGCATAATTTTTGGATTGTATAGTGAAAATATGTTGGGATTCGTGAGAATTTGGTGGATTTCATATGAGAAATCATTTGGTTCTGGTGTTGTCTTTTTTGGAAAGTTCTTAATGTTAATTCAATTAATAGGCAGAGGCTGTTCAGATGATCTGTTTCTAGTGCGACCTTGGGAAGATTATGTCTCTCAAGGAATTGATACATTTCACCTAGGTTATCAAACTGTGGGAATAGAGTCATTCATAACAGTCCCAGATTATCCTTTTAATGCTCAACAGTTTGGTAGACATGGCCCCTCTTTTATTTCTGATATTAACAATGTGTGTCATCTTTTTTTGCTTTGTTAGCCTGCATATTTATTAATTGTAACAATTACAATTAATAATTACAATAATTAATTGGGGGAATTATCATTGTTAATGTAGATGAACGCACATCCAGGAAAATGCTACCTACACTGAGCAATGATGGTGACAATTTGTCTTTTCAGTTCTGGATAGGACATAGGCATTTATCCAGCTCTCTGTTCAAATACACACACATGCACCACACACGTATACACACACACTCACACTTTTACTATGAATAAAATCTATTGCACTCTTATCATTTATAAAATCACATAATCCGACTGGGTGCGGTGGCTCACGCCTGCAATCCCAGCACTTTGGGAGGCCGATGCAGGTGAATCATGAGGTCAAGAGTTTGAGACCAGCCTGGCCAACATGGTGAAACCCTATGTCTACTAAAAATACAAAAAATTAGCTGGGGTTGATGGTGAGTGCCTGTAATCCTAGCTACTCAGGAGGCTGAGGAAGGAAAATCACATAATCCATTAGGTGATATTCCAATGTGTATTTAACTCATAACTTCTATAATACATTAATTTGAACTTACAGAAATAAAAAAGTAAAGCATTTGGAAATTGATCCCAGAATACAGGACATTTCTATAGGAAACAAGATGTGAACATAAGACTCAATGAGTTGGATGGTGGCAATAATTAATACTTAGGACTCAATTTATAATCTAATCAAATTAGATTAAGTACAATCATGACATGTCCCGTATTTTTCTCCTATGACTTTGTATAATGCTTTTACCAAGTAGAAAGTTTCCAAGTCTACCCACCCAAGTAATTTTCTTACCCTGTTTTTTGTTTTTTTGCAGTGGGGGTTTGTTTGGCCTCCCCAGGATGGACTGGAGCATCAGTAGTGCCTGGGTTCATCACAGGACAGATACTCAAGACACCCTGATCACCATTAGGTGGAATTGAAGGAGCCAAAAACGGGCGCAGTGGCTCCTCAGCAGAGACTCTCCTGAATGTATAGACATGGGAACCACCTTCAGCATCAAAAAAGGAAACGTTCTGCATGCCCATATCCAGAAAAATCCCCACTCGCTGTAGCTTTCGGTCTATGAAGAGGAAAGTCAGCGGCACCGTGCTGGCAGAGAGGCGGCTTCCAGCCCTCAAACTCACAGTCCAGAATCCACGCTCTGTGGTCAGCTGGATCCTTCCTTTGCGGTGAACAGATTCTCTGCAGACTCCCAGGTCCCATTCTGTGCTTGTTCCCACGTCCACCTCCCAGTAGTGGCGGCCACAGGTAAAGCGAGAGGAGCCCAGGACACAAATGGACAAGTCAAATCTCTCGGCATGGTCTTGCCGATTCTGTCTGATGCGCCCACTTCGGACGCTCCTGAGGTCATCAGAAATGAGGAGGAAGTTGTTGGCTGTGTTGGCATCCAAGGTCATATCCACTGTGAAAAGGAAAAAAGGTTGCTCAGCAAATGGACCGAAGCCCACCCCATGCTTCTCCTCTACTTCAAAGGCCCAAATGTCTCTTGACTTTAGTTTCTTTAATTCTCCCCCAAAATCAAAACTTCATGAGGCAACTTCCTTGACTAGTTCAAATTCTCACAGGTATGCTTTGTAGCAATACCCGACTCTTATTCACGGTAGCAATTCTTATTTTACTTTATGTCACATGTTTGCTTCATTGGACTTTTCTTCATTTAGAGTGGAGGGTCTCTGAAGGCAGACACCATGACCCCCTTTCTACCACCTTGATGCAGGAACAAATAAATAATAAGACAATGCAAGTGGTCGATATTAAATGATATTTGTTTCCACGTTTTATTGCTTCAATTTAAATAGTATCTAGAGCATGATTCCAGGCCTTTGTTTTCCATGTTTGTAAACAAATTAATTGTGCACAGTTCTGACAGCAGATGGGACATCTCTGCAGCTGATAATGTGATGACAGAGGAAGGAGGCGGTGAGATCTGGCCTAGAGAAAATTAATTGTCCAGAACATTCAGAAAAAGAAATCTACAGAACGTATAATCCTTCAAGTCAAAAAACTGATATGATCACCGATATAGATTTTATAGATTACAGTAAAACTTGAGGGGATTGATTGCTGTTTGATGGTGAGTTAGGGAATGAAATGAATGAACGTGGGCAAGGAAGGAGGAAGACGGTTCCAAACATGACTTGGCCAGGGTGAATGTGTCCTCCATATTTCAGCAGAGAGACAGGTACTGGTAGGTGGATGAGTAGAGATTGTGTCAGGGCAGAAGCTACTAGTGTCAGGGACATCATAGAGGCCCACCACCATTTATAGGTGTAATTCTTTGCCCAGGCTGACCATAATCTCTTCATGTAAATGTCCCTTTTCTCCGGAGTTATGGAGAGTGATCGTGTTTTCTGTAGCCAGGACCACTGTTGAAGCCCATGACGCATGGATGAGACCAGCGTCTGCAGCTCGCCCCACACTCACAGAAACAAACACCATAGGCGCTCCATTCCAAACTCTTCCCAACCCTGGGGTGAGGTTGTTTGGTGCAATGGATGCCAATATTCACTGTGCATTAGAATTACCAGGCCCATTTTAATGTCAGAGTCCTGGGAACCTTTGCTAAAGAGAAATTCAAATTCAGTTGCTCTATGTTTTTGCTACTCAGCAAAGTCCCTAAGCCAGTGGGAACAATCCTGAGACCTCCTAGTTCAGAATCTGCCTTTTAACAAGATTTCCAGGTAATTTAAGCACACTAAGTTTAGGGAATCCCTTGTCTAACCCATGACATAGACATCGCGTTTTTGTTTGTTTTTGTTTTGGAGATCACCAGGTGATTCTGTGTGTTGTCAGGGCTGCGAATCTGATGATGAAGAAGCATCTCAATTTTAGATGCCAGACAGCAGCTAATCCCCATATGGAATGGGGGGCCAATTGCACAAATGATTTTTCCTGGTCTGGTCATGGGAAGGGGGCAGGGTATACAGATTCCTTACCTTGGAACTTGCGCATCCTTGGGTTCATCTGCAGAATCTTCTTCAGCTTGGGCTCCAGTTCCTTGATGTGGGAAACCAGCCTCTCTAGCTGCCGATTGGGCCTGACTTTGTTCTTCTGAGAGACCGCAGAACAGCAACAGCAAAGTAGGTCCTCCCCACGGGGCTCCTTCTGCAGTGAGTTGATGCACTTGAGGCAGACGCTGCATCCACACTCCAGGGACATTGGTTTTTCTAGATAGTCTGAGCAGATGGGACAGCTGCTCGCTTCTTGAAAGAGTGCAGCCATGTCCACTGCCAGGGGAAAAGTGCACAAGGGAAGAAAATTTCCATGAGATGAAAGCCTGTCAGTTGTGACAAGTGACAACCTTTTCATGCATACAGGTATTGTGTTCCAGCTTTGTCACTCCTAGAACAAGGCCGTGAGTACAAACACTCAAGTACATCCCCCCACCCCCGTCTTCAGAGATCTGAAGTTCTACTGGGAAGGAAGTCACAAATCATCACTGTGCTCTGAGCCGAGGTGGAGGAAGGGTTCACTATCCTGGTAACCCAGCAGCTGAGCCTGAGCCAGTGACACAGCAGCACCCATGTGAGGAGCAGCGAGCTGGGGTCACTTCACCTCCTCCTAGGGCAGCCCGAGCGAGAGACTGATTGATGAACATAAGAATTAGCGGTTGGGAGGCCAGGCGTGCCTGTAATCCCAGCGCTTTGGTGGGCCGAGGTGGGTGGATCATCTGAGGCCATCAAAAGTTTGAGATCAGCCTGATCAACATGGTGAAACCCCATCTCTACTGAAAATACAAAAGAATTAGCCAGGCGCGGTGGCAGACGCCTGTAATCCCAGATACTTGGGAGGCTGAGGCA